GCTACAAGTACGTCTATCCTGTGTGTGTGGAAAATGTAAATATGAGTGTGTCTGGGAAAGTGTGTGTCAATAATGATGTCCCAGACACCCCTTGTAGTGCAGAGCCTGTGTTGGGAGGTGCAGACTTCCTGGGTGAGTGCAGTCCAGCGCTGTGAACGTGGACTACAAACCCAGCAAGGTGTGCTCTTCGTGTCCCCTGCAGAGGAGCCTCAGGTTACACGTGGGGAGCGCAAGGGCGACGCCCTCCAAGCCGCTCCATGCCTAGCTTTAGAGTGTCACTTGGAGTGTGTAAGAAAACTGGTGTTTTTGCTTTGTGCATTCCCCACCTGCTTTTCTGGGAGAGATTTCCCTCTCATATTAGCTTCTGCCAAAAGACTAATTTCTGGGACAGGCGGTAAGCACCTGTTAAATTTTTCAATTTGATAAAATTTCAGACACTGTAAGGAGTGGAATCTATGCTGCACTCCATGTAATCATTGTGCTCCATTAGAGTTTAGTTAGCTTAAACATGCACATGACCAGCCAGGCAGGTGGCCCACACCTGTGCTCCCAGACTGAAACAAGAACAGGCAGGAGGGTGGCAAGTTCGAGCCCAGCCTGGGCTGCAGAGCAAGACTCTATCTCACACAACAAACAAAAACAAATTCATGAAGCCCAGTTAGCTTAGGTCTCAGATAACAATGCATTTTTTGTTAGTACTACTGTTTCAGATTTAGAATATTAATAATTTTTAACACATTAATGAAGTAATATAACTCTACACCAGAGTAGTGCTGCCAGACTTAGGAAAAATGTAGAAGGTTCAGTGAAATTTAAATTAAAAGAAAAGGTATGGTTACTGTTCATTTTTAACATATTACTGTATTTAAAACATTTTAAATATATTTTACTTTTTTTTTTTGCCAATACAGCCCACCCTGAGGGCTGGGCAGGCAAGGCATGTGGTGTCAGGGATGGAACCGCAGTGCACTGGGCCTGCCTACACTTCCCTACGCAGGTGCTTTAGACTGCTGGGTAAGGTCCTGTGTTCAATCCCTGGTACTGCAAATAAATAAATTAATTAATTAATTAATTAATTTAAAAAAACATGGTTTATATTGCTCTTGGTAATCTTGAACTCACCAAGATACACAGGGTGGACGTGAACTTATGATCCCCTGACTCAGCCTCTAGTCTGGATTAAGTGTGGCTCCATCTGTCCATCCCTCTGTCCTTGGGCCCCATGTAGCACCCCAATCTCCTGGCCCCCAAAAACCTCCCTTCTCCCTCCCAGCACCTCAGACAAGGACTGGAGTGAAGGAGCTGGTGCCAGCTGTGAAGCCCAACCGCACTGCCCCTAGTAGAGACCGGCCAACTGCCTGGCCCTCTGTGGCTGAGTGCTCCTGATATCCCCACATGTGCCACAGATGGTGCAGACACCCTGACCTGAGACACTCTCATCCACAAAGATATCACTCCCCACCCCCAAGTACACAGACACCCCCAGTCCCTGGACCAACCAAACTCCAACCACAACTTACTTCCACCCATGTGTCCCACGTCAGGACCCTCCACCCCAGGGTCCACCTGGGTCCTGCTTCTTAGCATAGAGAGAAGATGCTGCCTGAGACCTCCAGAGGAAACCACTTGGACCTGGGAGGTGAGAACTCAGGCATTTGCAAAAGCATGTATGCAAAGCTGGATGTGGAGATGCACACTTACGATCCGAGTTCTCGGAAGCCTGAGGCAGAAGGATCAAGTGACTTGGAGGCCAGCCTGTTCAATATTGTGAGTGAGAGCCCATCAAAAAAAAAAAAAAAAAGGAAAGGAGAAAGAATAAGCATCAAAAAAAAGTTTTCTTTTTCTGTATTTTAAGGAAGGGTCTAAAGGTTGTCCAGAGTCTCACTACTAGGTCAGACTTGTAGTGATTCACCTGTATACAGCCTCACAAGTGCTGGGGTTACAGGCACACGCCACAGCTCCCCGTCTCAACTGCCCTCTGAGCATGCCTCAGAGGTGGGCTCAGTGCTGCAGGCCCAGGGATGAACCCCCAGGCCCTGCACCTGCTCGCAGGAACTTCAAACCACTGAGCTATTTGGCCGGCCTCCAACAAGTTTTTAGACTCATTTTGTTTTTATTGCTTTTAGGGATGTAGAATTTCCCTTTTCTAATGTTTGTGACTGTTATATAATTCTCTTGTTTGTTTTACTCCTTAATAGGACCTTTTAATTCAAATTCTTCTCTGCCTTCTCATCTTATATTTCTCTATATTTCAGTTTTTCTATATTCTCCTATTCCCTGCCTCATCATCTTTACTATTACCATTATAAGTTATTCTGAATTTTTAGATATTCAGTGACCCGTATGCTATTATTACTGACCTATATTCCATTGTTCATGGTTATTAGGTATAGCATTTAAGAGATATTTGCTGTATGTCAGTGTTTTCTACATTATTTCTGATTATCAAATATTACCCAAAAAAGATAATAAAAATGCACCACTTGTAATCAGCAGTTCCTTTCCTTTTACGAAACACTAACTTGATTGAGGTGTATATTTCATAACACAATACTCTGTTGTAATGAAGGGTAATAATTTTAATACCATTGCACATTAGACAGCCATGACCAACATCAATGTGAGACCCTCATCCTCTGAAAAGAAAGCCTGCACCCATTCATACCTCATCACCGGAACCATCATTCACCTAATAAACACCAAAAAGTCAAAGCATTGTCCATGGCCATCCCTAAGATATTTCAGACAACTAAAATCTTACATTATGAGGTACTGGCTTTCTTTATTGTCAAAACATTTTAGAGGTTCATCTATACTGTACTACCAGCAGGCCCTTTTCTTGTGAAGTACTATCTAATTCATGAGCAGTTCATATTTGTGTGCCAGTGTCTCACACGGATGGATACTGAACCCTCCAGGTGCACACAGACACCAGCAGTTCAATGCAAGGATCCTGCTGTGCTCTGGAGACCGGGCTCACGTGGGCTATTCTCGTGTCCTGGAGAAGAGGCTGTTCCCAGGAGAATCCCACAGCGGTTCTAAGCCCACGGTCCTGACCTCAAACTGCGTGCGGTATTCCTTTCAGGCTTCAGCAGGATGAGGTAGCACTTGGGGAGGAAGATGCCCCCCAGCAGCCCTGCCGTAGAGGC